CGGATGAGAGCAGCGGGTTAGTCCGCTTGGCGATGAAGCCGCAGTGAAAGAGGTCGATGACGAACTGCGCCGACTTTCTCCGGGAACAACCGAGTGCTGTTAAAGGGACAGGCCCGACAGAGAGACAAATGGTGGAAATGCCGCGTTCCAGGATGTGACAATGACGTCACAGTCAGACAGGCAGTTGTCCAGTTAGACGTCAGAACACGGGTGGGATTGTTCCAGTGATCAGGCGAACAGATGCTAAACTCACAGCTGGCCCAACGCAGCACAGAGTAGAACAGTGTTTGACTTGGGGCCCCTTGGGGCCCCTGTTCCTGTCCTCTTAATGAAGAGGTGGTGGTTGCACTACTTCAACATTTTTACTCAAGTAAAAGAATTTCTAAGAATTTTCTCAAAATTAAAAACGTGTTTGGTTCATTTAGGTCTGGCAAACAGATCAAAACATCTAGCTGATTACAAAAACATGATGTAGACAAATAAAACTGAATACATGCTACTACTAAAGACGAAAATAACAAATGAAGTATTTAAAATTAAATTCAGGTATATGGAGCTCCAACAAAGCCATGTCCAAACTCAAGACTACCACAGAGAACAGCTGCAGAATAATCTACATCCCGCTTACTGAAAACATAAAACATATGATAATGTAACCAAAAAAACTGAAGGAAGAGGTAAATTTGATATTATCCTCTAACCTTAGATGCTCTGTAAAACTGTAACTATGGTAACATAACGATGAAGATCATTATTTGCAAAAATAATAAAACAAACACTTGTACTACTAAAACTAATGAAAGAAGAAAATATACATTTATTTTATTTTTTTTGCGAAATCACAAAATGGAAAACATTTGAAAAAACATGATACAAAATATTTTCTTGTGATATAAAGATGCAGTTAGAATACAAAGTTTGTGTAAAAATGAATCCAGGATCCAATCAGAGGATCATCTTGCTTCACTTCCTCTAAAAATGGAGCTCATATTCAACCATATTTGTAAACTGGTGAGCATATTCGAGTGCTAACAGCGGCGCTAGACAATCAGCCACACCAAATAACAGGAAAACAGACAAAACAAAAAACATCACTGCCTCACAAATAAAGATGTAGTTTACTGGAAACAACAGGTTTCAAGATTCCCAGCAGTGTCCTGCTGCTGTTTCCTTTTACTGACCCAAAGGGGAAAGTTTCCATTTTTGAATCCTGTTAGCAGAAAATAAGAAACTGAGATCAAACAACTGATCTGAGTGGTGAGGTTGATTTCAGCCATCAGATGTTAAATTAAAAGCTATTTATTGGTATAGTAATTTTTTAAATTTATTTCCTTTATTTAACCAGGTAAACCCTGTTGAGATCTGGATCTCATTTTCAAGAGGGAGCTGGGCAGAAGTCTGCAATACACAATAACCTGGTTACAAAATAAAACCAATTAATACATATTCACAAGTATAAAACAATAAAACAAGTTATATTGCTTTATTCTTCAAATCCTTGTGCATGAATGTGCATGAATTTACACATTAATTAACATAAATACACATTTTGGTGAAATTGAGTGAATATCTGGGTAAACAGCAAACAAATGCTGATGTTTGACAGACCTTCTCTGGTTTTTATGTTCATAACCTTGTTCCACTGAAAACTGAACCTCCAGACAGAGCACAACTCAGGACTGATCCCTGAACTAGATCCATTAATCCTTGGTGCTTATGGATCACTAAGGATCCATAAGCACCACCTCAGGCCAAAAACTGCTGGACATTTAATGTCTACAGTCTGGAGGGCAGTGGAGCAGAAAGAACAGAGCTGCTACAGCTGCACTGTGAGAAGTTACTGAAAACGTCTCTCACTGCCTTCTAATGTCAGCGTTTCATGGCGTCTAAAATCTGCCAGTCAGTTCCAGTGAGGTGTTGTGACTGGTGTTGCTCACTGGTCATGAGTGGGATTCCACTGGTTCCACTACTTGTTGGGGCTGCTGTAGTGTCCCAGCGGGGAGCCTTGAACGTAGCTGAGGATGGCGCTCTGCAGGTAGCTGGCTCTCTGGGCCTCGTCCTCCTTCATCCGCTGGATCTCTACTTCCTTCAGCCGCAGCTTTTCCAACAGGGAAGACTTTTCACTCTCTTTGTCAAGAAGCACTTCACGGTGATTATTTGTTAGAACTACAAAAAATAAATAAAATGCACAAAACAGGCATGACATGTAGCAGATGTGTACAGTTTTATGCAAGAAATTAGAATATTAATGAAAATTTTATGTATTTCAGCAACTCATAAGTTATATAATATAGAGACCTCCCACATTTCCTATACATTTTTTTGTTCAAAATATTACAATATTTTAAGTTATGAGAAGCTTTTCTTGTTTTGTAAATGAATGAAAACTGAAAACATCCAGATTTTTCACTCTGTAAATGCATTGACAATCTTCAACACATTTTTATTTGGAGTGAAGGAAATTAATTTTCAGCATCTGGATGAAGTTTATGAAAATACCTTATTTTTTGTCAGAATGATTTTTCACTATAGGCTATGATAAAAAAAAAACACCACACCAAACAAATAAAACTAAACTTCCTGTTTTAGCTCAAGTTAAGTTATTTCTGTTTTGTGTCAGCATTTTCCACACACTAAGAATATTATCCAATGCAAATAAGTGAAGCTAACTTACAATTTTATTCTGCTAATGTTTAGCAGAATAAAATCACTTTCAGAAATGTATTTATTCACAGGCATATAAATGAACAGCTTATCACAAAGGCTAACAATATGTGGATTACAGATTATTAAACTCAATCTGAAGTCCAGATGAAGACAATCTGCTGTGAGATGTTTGCCTGCTGTTTAAGCCCAAAATTATTCACACCACCAATAGATTCAGATTTAAGATTATTCTCATTCCACAAAGACATTTGTCTCTGATCAAAAATGTTCCAGTAGATAATAAAGCAAGGAAGGAGTATTTTAACTGTTTTCAATTTCAATTGTTATAATTGTTTATAATTCCCTCTTCATCTTTATTAACATTACAACAATCTAACTCTAATCTGTTCACAGATTTTGCCTGGACTCTGGCTGGGCCTCCACAAAATATTAATGTTACAAGATCAAAATAAAATATTACATCACAGCAAAAACCTGACAGAAATATGAATGACTTAGAGCAGATCAGATTTTTGAGGTTTCCAAAACATTATGCACCTTGAAACAAAGCAGCAAACTAAACAGTGGATAATGTACCTTTCATCTCTCTCTCCAGAGCACTGATCTTTGCTTTGAGCCCCTCCTGTGCCGTCCTGTCTGCCTCCAGCTGTCCAATCTGCTCCAGCAGCTCCACTCTTACCCTGCTCACCTCAGCCACCTTCTCCTGCTCTTTTCCAGACAGATCCTGCAACAACATGCTGTGTAGGAAGGATCCGCACCAAACAGCTGCCACCCAATCAAAGAAGGGCTGGGCGGTACGGCAGAAAAACCTATCACTATGGAAGCATTTCGTATTAGTGTATTAGTCCATATCATTAATCAGTGATTACTTTTTTGTTTTAAATGTCAGAAATGCTAGTATTTCTGATACTTGGCAGAAGCATCAGGTGACGGTGTGAGCTTTTTTACTCAACAGGTTGTTGCTAGGTAACAACCTTTTTTTTTTTCTTCACATAGAGGGATTATCAGTCGACGTCACGTTGCGTCAGCAGCCACTCTACTGTCGCCTGCAGAAGGCAGGCAATAATACATTATTCTAACTATTTAAATGATTTACAGTAAGACTGATAAAATCATCAGCGACTCGCCGCCAGCGCAGATCACCTCTCTTCACCCGGCACAAACTGACACACGCAGCTCTGAGGGACCTGCAGATGTTTATTTTTAGTACATCGATGTGAACCTCAAATGACCTCTGGTTCAACCTGCTGCATTTCTGATTTCAGCTGATGGCTGAATAAAATTGTTGTATTTCATTCGTCCTTTGCCAAATAAGAATTTCAGCTTTTTTCAAATGTTTTTTTCCCCTCTTTTTTAAAAACTTAACTTTTACGTCTTATTTAGAGAGAATACATATATCTCGTTGAGAGCTGATTATGTTCCCATGAATAAAACTGCTTTAATATTGCCAGTAATGTTAATATTGCTACTGCAGTTTGGGCCATTTGTCCTCATTTATTCACTCACCTGCATGTAATGTGTATTAATGAGTCACTAATATCAATATGGTAGCATAACTTATTTTATCATGCAGTGACAAAAAGTTGACGTGTGCTGACGACATAATAGCTACTGTTAAAACAGCAAGATAAATGTGGGTAACCATGACAACCACTAGCAACTGTGGGGTCTTTGTGCAGCAGGGGTGCTCAAGTCCAGTCCTGGAGAGCTACCATCCTGCAACTATCAGATGCATCCCTGCTCCAACACACCTGAATCAAATGAATGACTCGTTACCAGACCTGTTCATAGCTGAGTCTGGTCTACTGGAGTAAGGCTGCAACTAAAAGTTGCAGGACGGTAGCTCTCCAGGACTGGACTTGAGCACCCCTGCTCTGCAGCGTCCGCTGTGTTTACAAACAGATAATCCCTCTATGGGCTCCACCTGGTCTGTTGGTGTTAGGATGTGACACCTTCCACAGAGCATCCTGTGTGTCTCAGTTGTGTCTGCATTCATTTTCAGCTGGTATTGCAGAATGGCTGATTAACAAGCAGCAGCAGCAGCAGCAGGCGGCTGGGCGCCTACCTGCTGAAGCTCCTCTATCCGGTGCCGCAGGCCGTCCGTCTCCACGCTCTGGTGACTGGTCTTTGCCTGCAGCTCAGAGATGCTCTGTTTCTGCTGGGAGCAGTGCAGCTGCAGCTGCTGCATGGACGCACGCAGGGAACGCAGCTTCTCCTCCAGGGTCGACACGTGCTCCTGCTGCTTGTGGGAAGAAGCGTGGACGTGAGGGTTTGAGAGCAGGAAGACTTCCTCTTCTGTTCAGGCGTCTTACCTCCTCTGAGCGCATTTGAGTTCGTACTTTTCCCAGTTCCTCCTCTGCCTGGGCCCTCTCAGTCACAACGGCTGCTTTAGCTTTACCCAGCTCCTGCAGCAAAGAGACAAAACCAACTATCTGAAAAACTCTTACACACTGTTATGAAATTATTCTACTCTGACAAAAGGAAGGAAGCAGGACTGTGACCTCTTCCAGCTGGATCCTCTGCGCCTCCAGTTTGAAGATACGTTCCTGCAGAGTTCTCTCATTCTCCTCTAGATGCCGGCTGATGTTCTCCACCTGCATGAGGATGTAGCTGTTAAAAGATGTCCATCTAAAGGTTGGCTGCAGTACTGCAACTTTAAGCATGCAATCAATTATATATGCCAAACATTTATATCAACTAAACAAGAAAGGCAGCAGTACACAAAGGATCAGGTCTGATATCACCACATGTGTTTTACCAGTCAAAACGCTTTGAAGGATGTTGAATTACAAAAGTTTACACATTTAATTTCCCCTTGGGATCAATAAAGTATTTTGCATTGGACTAAAAGTGATAACATGTTTTTCATGCGGGGGTTCCAGCTGTGAAGTGATGCATGTTTGCATGTGAACAGGTTGATGATGGGTGGAAGACGCAGCACCTCTTTGTGTCTCAGGGTCTCCATGTCCTCCAGGGCTTGCTTGGACCGCCGCTTCTCTGTCTCCAGCCGATCTGCGGGACAGGTGGGACATGAGCCGGGCCTCGTGCGGGAACACGGCCTGCTCCAGATGCTGCTGCTACCTTCTGCCTTCGTTAGCCGCATCTTGAGCTCTGCGGTGCTGTTGGTGAGCTCCTGCTTCAGCTCAAAGATCTGCTGCTGCTGAGACTTGCACCTGCACTCCAGCTCCTCCACCTGACACACATCTATTACTAACATGATCGCCACGTTCATACGCTACAGGTAGTCAGCATTTCCTCTGCTGCTGCTGCACGCTATAGCAAGCAAAAGCACAACCTTTACATTTAACGCTAGTTTCAAAGACAATACCAAGAAAAAGTTTAGGAAATGCAGCACATAAAAACATAAAAGTTTCAAGAAATGGTTTGCATGTCATTAAATCATTTTTGGCCATTCTGCTGATGTGATGCAGGAAGACTCCACCATGACGTTATTACTGTTCTGTCCTTGGATTTCACAGGAGTTAACCCCACTGGCCTCAAGCGACCTTCAGATTATGATCAAGCCTCTCCTGAAAAGCTGGAGGCTTTCACACACAGACAACGTTTTGATCCAGAACATCTGTGCATGATTACCTGATTTATTTATGAACTCTGTTTCTGTTGAAGGGGAACAAATACATAATTCACTCAATGACACACAAACCAATTTTCTACTTTGACGTAAGGATTTTTCCTCATTGGTTCTACTACTCTCTATCAAAATATAAAACCAGCATAGAATGTACAGAATGGGCTTTGGTGTTTGTGTGTGAGAACTTAGAAAATCAGCCAGGGATCAAATACTTCTTTCCCACACTTTCAAACAGTCCTTGTAATGCCACAGGTGTGTAAAGCTAAGACACATGATACTCATCAAGCAGGGCTCATACTTTATTCCTGAGTTGGCCGTTGGTTTCCATCAGGTTCTGGATCTCTCTGTGGAGTTTTCCCTCCCTGAGGGAACTTTCCTAAAGGAAAGGAAGACAAGCACAGAGGATCATAGTATAATCTTGTATTGACTAATGTTAATTTATTTGTTTGTTCTTTTGTTTATTGAGAATCTGTGACAGTTGATGCTCTCTATCTAATAGCTTGAGCTATTTCAGGAGCTCTGAGTAGAAATGTTCACCTGTAAAGACAAAAGACCTTCAAAGGTCACTTCAGCAAAATGTGGTTCTACTGAGCCTGGACTCCAGGGCTGGTCACATTTTAAGACTTTTATGTGTGAAAAAAAATCCAATAAAATACAAGAGAAGTTTATTTTATAATATGAAAAATGTGTCTCAGTTCAATACCTCTGGAAGGCGCCTGTCAATACACACTGTGTGTGAGCTCATCACTTATCCAGATCTGTCCGTGCAACTATTTGCTTTAAAACATAAAACTCAGACGACAGCCCGGATGTTCTCCAGCGTTTCAGCGTACCTCTTCCTGCTTCTTCCTCAGTCGACTCTGCTGCTCTTTCTGCTCTTCTTTCTCAGCCTTCATGCGAGACAGCACCTCACCCATACTCTGGCCTTTCTGCTCTGAGAGGGCCAGAGCTGCTTCTGTCATCTGCAACCTGCAATTTCAACAGAAACACCCACAAACCTCACTGCTTCCGTCCATCACTGCACTCGTCAGAGTAAAAAAAACTCATCATAGTTAATTAAATAACTTTGAGCAAGAAAGAATCTGAAGGAATTACTTGGCAGTGAGGGAGTTGATTGTTGACTTCCTCTCATTCAGAGCTTGTTGGAGCTGACCAATCTGAGCAGAGGTTGACCTAACATCAGAGGAGGCAAACAGGCCATATTTAAAGAGACAGTAGATCTAACATATTCATTCTGTCGGTAATAAGTCACAAACTTCATGAGCAAATTTGATTCCTTTAGGGTTTATAGCGTCTGATGGCTCATTAGACCTGATGACCTCAGGAGAGTGACCAACCAGGTGTGTTACGGATGTTTAACAGGGTTATGGACAGTTGTGTATATAAGCTCAAAGGCTTATTCATCTATATATATGTTTGGGTCAATTTGACAGCCAGTAGTAAATGGACTCACTTGGTGGAGCGTCCCATCTCCTCCCTCTGCCTATCTATTGTCTCCATCAGGCTGAGGAACTGGAGGACAGTTAGGACAACCAGAGTCATGGTCATCGTAAGGAATACACTAAACACTCATTTCAAATAAGACACAGTAGATAAGATAGAGAGAAAATTCTCTATTTACTTACTGCCTTCTCCAGACAAAATGTGCCAAACTGACAGCTCACCTGGCGACCCTTTTCCTCCTTCAGTGATTGGATCTCTTTGCTGAGGACATGGGTCTTGTTGCGACTGTCTCTCAATGTGAACTCTCTTTCAGAGTTGTGTCCTGTGCTCTGCTCTAGAAGGGTCCAGAAAGTTCACAGAATAAGCCACACAGATGACAGTGGATGTGTTTATGACTCCAGCTCCCCCAACAGGTGTTTGCTTTCTCACTCAGGTGGGCCAATAGGAGTCTCTCCAGAACCTTCAACTGTGTTACATATAGAGTTGCCCAGTCACAGAAAAAGACTTCTATTCACTATTATTCCTGTCAATACTAAAATGAGTTTGGTAACACTGCATGTGTAGCATATTTAAAACAAAATATGGATGTCAATCTGGTGATTTCACTAATAGTATTTTCAAATGATTTTCATTGTTTTTGCTATATTTTAGTAGAAATCACACCTACAGGAGGAGATGTGTAACAATCTTACCCAGAGCTTTGAGAATGTCACTGGGAATGTTGTTTCCTGCCATCTCGAGCTGAACTACGCTCTTGTTTTTCTGCAGGGCCTCCAGCAGGGACCTCCCACCCAACAGGCCGATGTTGTTCCACCTCAGGTCTGGAAAAGGAAGATCACACAGCAAAGATGTTTGTTTTAAACTAACATCTGAACTACATCAGGAGTACTACAACAAAGACAAACACAACAGATCAGGGACTCCTGAGACATTGAAAGATGAGCCAACATGTGTGCTGCTCTGCGGTTGGTCAGGACCGATGTGGGCAGTTCCACTTCACCTAGCTCCTGCAGGGTGCTGTTGCGTCTGAGGGCCAGCGCCAGCTCCGAGGCTCCGTGGTGGTTGATCTGATTGTTGCGCAGGTCCAGGTGTGTCAGAGTGTTGTTGGAGGCCAACCCGTCACAGAACAGTGAAAAGGACTCTTCCCACACACCCAGAGCATTCCACTCCAACACCAGCCTGAGAACAATGTTCACACTGGGTCACTATTATCACATTATAAACACCTCCAGTGTGCTTCCCTCTTCAGCCTGCTGGGATTTCATATTATTAAATACAATGGAAACCCTACAAACCAGTGCTATCACAAGATTCTCCAAAGGACATAATTTTTTTCAAATTTGCTGTTACATCACTACATTTTGTACTGGCTGAAACTATAAACTGCTGTTATAGTTTTACTGACAACACCATTTTAGATACACTGATGAAAATGACAGTGTGTTTAAAGATAACAGGGAGGTTCCCAAATATTTTCACTGATTTAAGCACTTTGTGATTTTCATCCATGACAGATGCTTTACTAATTACCTTTACTTCAGACAGTGGCTGTCACTGCACATGGTAAACATGTTAGTAAAAAATCACTAAACACTATATTTTCACACAATGATAGAAAGAGGTTCCCTAAGTTAATATTTTTTCTTCTTTTTTTTTGACAGCTAAACTCACCTGTGCAGTGTTTTGTTACATCCCAGCAGCTTGCCCAGAACCTCAGATCCCGTAGATCTCAGGTTATTTCCCTGGAAACAGTTTTCAGAAACTCACCGATGAAAAGAGTCTGCACTCAGATGAATTATTTTAAAGTGTTTCTGCGTGTGTGTTTAGCGTGTGTGTCAGATTTTACAGCTGTTACCTTTAGATCCAGACATTTCACTGATGTGTTGTGAAACAATCCAGCCAAAAGCATCTTGGTGCCTGAAAGTCACATCAAAAATGTAGACAGTTACATTTATGGACATTTATTATTCAAAGATGAATAAGATAGCTTGTTGTCTTTTTGTTAATGTCACAGTCTCTAAACAATCCATCCCAGTGGTTCCCACTATTGACTTCTACATGGTATCTTTTCTTTCACTCATCTTGACATAGATCAAACTCCTGCAGAGGCCTGCTAACGAACCATTCAGCTGATTGTGGAGTTGGACCAGAGAAACCAGAGAAACATCCAGAATAAGCAGGGACCCATCTGGGTTTTGAGGACTGGAGTGTAGCACCTCTGTTTTATAGCATAATAAAGCCAACATGGCTGACAGTCATACACACCTTCTTCTGTTAGCATGCAGTCGCTAAGGGAGACCTCTGTGAAGACAGCGTCCTTCTGGAAGGCCTTGGCCAGGACGCAGCAGGTGTCAGTGGACAGGCTGTGTCCACTCAGGTCCAGCCTGGAGCTGTGGGCAGCCCTGCTCTCCTGGAGCTGAACCACAACACTCTCCTGGGGCTCCACACCGCCCTCCTTACAGAGCTGCAGGTATGTCCACCTGAAGTCTTCCATACTGGATGGAGCTGTTCGTTCTTCCTGCTGCCTGCCAGGACCTGAGCATCAGCTGAAAACAAACGAGACATTTTCATCAACAAACTGCTGCTTCATTCATTTCTGACACAATGAAGACAAATAGTTTCTAATTTAACTAATTTAGTTGCTTTCAAATTGTGATCGTTTATCACTTTCAGACTCCTCATGAAGCTGTGATGTCATCCACCTTTTCATTGCCGTAGAGGTTAGAGGTCAACCAACTGTGAGTGATCTGTGGCAATTTAAACATTTGTGGACCTGGGGGATGTTAGTTGATTAGCTTTTTTTCCCATCTGTCATTTTTATATGAAGGCAGCAGCTGATGCTAAGCAACTTTCTAACAGGAGTTTAGACATCACTGTGGAGGAAGTCTGACCCACTCCGCTTTGCAGAATTATTGGAATTCTGTCACATTTCTGCTTAGACCTCCATTTTCATGATCCTGCATAATCAAAGTGAGCTTGAGCTGCTTTTTGTGTTTATTCAGGTTAACTTGGTCTGATCTTAAACCCAGTTTGATGATCTGAAATATCCAAGAGGGAAAAAAAAAGAAATAAAGTTTAGAAGACATTATAGACCTGTCGTCATGCTATCAAGACGACAGACCACTCAGTTGTTCTGGTCCTGGTATCCCCAGAACCAAACATGGAGAAGCAGCATTCATTTTGTATGCTCCTCAAATCTCGAACAAACTTACAGAAAACTGCAAAGCAGCTGAAAAACTGAGTTCCTTCAAATTTAGATTGAAACCTGTTCGTTTACAGCTGTATTTAATTCATATAGATGAATTCCAGTCTTCATTCTATTATTTCATGACAATGATATTTGATTATTTTGATATTTAAGAAAATGGCCCATTACTGAAATATAATCAACATATCTTATTTCTTTATTTTTTACTATTTTTAATCTTTTCTTTGTTCTTGTAACAAGCTGCAGGGAATAAACGTCCACTGAAATGGTGCAAAAAACAAGTAGAAAAACAGATTTTGGTCAAATGAAGCTTGGTGTGAAGGAACTATAAAACAAAGGATAAATTGCAAACATTAAAAAAACAGAAAGGTATACAAAATCAGTAAAGTCCTGTTGAGTATGTGACACCTGTTCTCATGTGTTTGATTCATTTGACTATGAAAATCTATTTGATTCTCAAACATCAACCTATTTGATGTTTGAGGATCACTGGTAACACAGAAATCTATGTTACTCTAATACCCCTAAATAAAATCAAGCGCAATTGCCTTTATAAATTACCTAAACAGTAAATAAAGTCCACCTTTGTATAATTTAATCCCAGTAAAGGTTGGAAGCATTATGATGTGAGGATGAATGTCTTTGGCACTGACAGGGTCAGGGTCAGTCAGGGTCGATGGGGAAAAGGATGGAGGATGTACCATTACATTTATTGGCAATTATCTTGAAGTTATGATAATCATCATCCAGAGATGATTATCATAATCAGAACAAAGCAGCCTCAAAGTCTATCCCGGAAGGTTCTGAAAACCCACCGTCATATTTCACCATATTCTAGAAGACAACCATTATGATGGTTCCACTGATGCAACTGGAAGTTTTGGCTGTAACTGAACCACAACTTAACCGCGTTAACACAGTGAAACCCAGAAACAGCGACGATATCCAGGCAAACATAGCGTTTACTCTACAAAGTAATAATAAGGACAAAAATCAAGACAAACCTCTGATAGCAGGAAACGACTACCTAAAAGAAAGCGGTTGTTTTAGATACAGAAGCTAACAGAAAACAAGCCAGTGAGTAACCAGGAAATGAACTAGAGACGCAAAGCATCTTGGTCTGTGTAGTTTTGTAAAAACGCCTTGGCGCTAGCTTCAGTGGACATCGTTTACGCAGCTCTACCGCCCTCTTCTGGCCAGGACGACAACTGAACAGACCTAATGATAATCAGAACAGACGAGTATTATGAGACGAGATAGCTATGTCATAATTATTAGATATTGTCTCATTACTATGATACTAATTAAGATTCAAATTAAGTTTGAATCAGCATACTCCCATTTAGCTGTTTAATGCAGAAATATAGACCTTTCTTTATAATATAATAAATATAGTTTCATGAATATAAAGTATTTCATTTCAGAACTTTTTATAACTTATTTTGGAATTTAAAAGGCGGCAAAGGATGGAAGTCATTTTCCAGATATGATTGTTTACTTCCCAAAACAGCAGAGGGCAGTAAAACACCATTAATTCGTTCTCCATAAAAGAAGAAGATTAATATCTCACAAAAACAAGCATGGCTGGGAATGTGAGCGGCGCAGCGGGACCGATAAGTTCTCTGTCTAAGCTTCAGTCTTTAAATGGATTGTTCGCCATATATAAGAAACAAGGGCCGACGTCTGCTGACGTGTTGAACAAGTTCAAAGAGACTTTGCTCAGAGGTAAGTCTGCGCAAACAACATCAACATGGAAGGCTGCTGCTCATTAAAAGGCTTTACTCGTGTTATTCCAGAGGCTGGAGTGCAGAACCCAAACAGCAGGAAGAGGAAGAAGCAGCAGCTGAAGATGGGCCACGGAGGGACCCTGGACAGCGCTGCCAGCGGGGTCCTGGGTAAGAGGCGTTCACTGTCCGCCAGGAGATCTGTGCTTTAGAGTTCCATTCCACTCTAATTCAAATAGGTTTTTATACAGCAAATAATGCGGCTGAGTCACAGGTCATTCAGTCCAAGTTAATTAAATCCGAAATGCCAAGTACAATATAAGTATTTTATTATTTTTTTAAATTACTTTCTTCTTGTTGTATGTTGTTTTTAACTCTCTTGTACAAGCACTTTGAATTGTCTCTGGCTGAAAGGTGCTATATAAATAAAGTTGCCTTGCCTTTCCAAAGCTGGTTTATTTGATGAAAGAATAAAGCAATTCTTTACCATTCATTTCACGAGCTTCCTTTTTTTCCTGAAAGGCAGAAAACCATTCCTTACTCTTTTCTTTCAGTTGTCGGTATTGGGAACGGGACAAAAATGCTCAGCACGATGTTGACTGGTTCAAAGGTGAGTTTGATAAAACAGCATATGAAGTGAGGCTCAAAGCAGCTACACACTAAGGATAGACTGACACTGTTTCTTAGCAACGCATCTGATCGAGGTTAGATTTTATTTCTGTGTACTCTAATTATATCTTTGAAGAAATACGTGGCTGTGGGAGAACTGGGAAAAGCAACAGATACTCTTGATGCTACTGGAATGGTGACCATGGAGAAACAGTTTGGTAAATGTTTCCTTTGTGTTCTGCAGAGTTCCTGCATGTGTCTGCGGGGCTGTAGTAGCGTTTTCTTTTCTCTCCTTCCAGAACACATAACCAGGCTGGACATGGAGGAGAAGTTAAAAGCTTTTACTGGTGACATCATGCAGGTTCCTCCACTGTAAGTAACCCCATCTGAACAGAGAGGTGTTTATATCGAAGGACAAATTTACAGACACGGGCTGGAAACATACAAACTGGGAGGGTGACTGCAGCTGGTCCCAGTAACAAGCTCTGTCTAGAAACAGGCCTGCTGGGACCTTCACAAGACATCACACACTTTAAATGTTTTAGCATTTGGTCATGTCACAATCAGACTTTGAGAGATCTAGTTGGATCTCTCAAAGTCTGATTGAGACTTTGGTCACCACTCTGGTGGTGACCAAATGGTGGTGCATCATTTGGAAGCAGATGGACAATCTGTGGTCTTCAGAATGTTTCACAAACAACTTGAAAACGTCCTGATGTATCGGCTCCTTTAGACTCCACTCAGTCAAGTCAACTTCAAGTCAATCAGGTGTTTTGGGGAAATGCTATAACAACAACAGGAAGGATTTAGCTAAATTTTGAGTCACTGACACAATAAATTAAAATGACAGCAGTAGGATGTATAATCTGAACTACACAACAAGCAGAGGTTCACTGGGCAACAAGGCAAAATAAAGTTTAGGACAATCAAAAAATTTGGATATTTAGGCATGATGATGACCCAGAAAATCTCTTTGTTCGACCACCTTTTTGCATTAATAAATTATTTATTTATTTCGCTTATTCCAAATTTTCCACAAAGATGATCAAAAAAATTGGGTTGAAGTGGCTTCTTCCTCCCACCTGCAGATGGCAGTATTTCACACTTACTTCACTTCTGCCTCAGTCTAGTGACGTCAAGTTAGTTTGTAATTGACATGAGTAACAAAAAGTCACGTTTACTGTTGTCCATAAGTCCAGACTTTTGAAAATGTCCATTTTCTTCCTCAGTGATGCACTTCTTTGTTTTGATCTGTCAGATGGACTTTGTGATTATAAATTCGTGGCTCCTTTTGCAAGGCAATGTATATGCCATGGAAACCGCGGGGAGGGTTCCATGGAAACATCGGGTGGGCGTGTGCAGAAAACCATATTTCCCAGATGAAGCTTATGTTGTCCTAACTCTAAAATTCTCAGTACAGTGAAGTTTTGTTGTTTGCTAGCTTCTCCGCCCTGAAGAAAGATGGCCAGCGTCTGTCTGTGTTGTTGAAGAAAGGTCACCAGGTGGAGGCCAAACCTGCCCGGCCCGTCACCGTGCACAGCCTGACTCTGCAGGAGTTCAAACCTCCTCTCTTCACTCTTGGTTAGCTCCAACTGCTCTATCCACTTTGAGCTGTTCTGTGCCGCATGATGACTGTCATTCCTTCCCTTTCCACTCTGACTGTGTGACAGATATTGAATGCGGTGGAGGGTTTTATGTCAGAAGCCTGGTGGACGACCTGGGGAAAGGTAACACTCCAGAGGATCTCGGTGAAAGCAGCTGAGCTAAAATTGGTGTTTTGTAACGTGGCTGCTGTGTTTTGGTGCTGCAGCTCTGTCGTCGTGTGCTCATGTGAAGGAGCTGGTCAGGACGAAGCAGGGCCAGTTCACCCTGCAGGATCACGTGTTGCATGAGGAGCAGTGGACGCTGAAGAGCGTCATTGGGGCGCTGCAGCCCTGCCCAGAGGAGGACCAGAGGACGGACTCTCCCAGATCCCCAAATATCGCTACCTAGCAGCTGGCAGCAGGCTATAGGAAGAGCCGTTTGGTGCCATCCTCTTCCTGCTTTGTCCTCCAGAGAGAAGATCAGATGTAAACATCTGAGATCGTTTGGTTTGTTTGGTGACTGGTGGCAGAAAACTGACCGATGGTGAAACCATCATCGTTCTCCTGGAGGTCAGTGGACGAGTCTGAACTGAACTGACTTTGCTCTTTGCGGTTGGTTAAATATAATTATTGCTTTTGTTGAAGGTGCAGTTTAACTTTTATTTGAAAAAAGTTTTTTACATATTTGTTAAAACTGTCACCATGTAGTGACAGTTTGAGATCATTTGAAAAGATTGATTTCCACCTCCTGCCTGAGCTAATGTTGATCTGTAGAAATGCACCGTTCCCGGCCAAAACCAGCCAATCAGAGCCAGGAGGCGGGCCTTAGCGGTATCAGTGAATATCATGCACTCACTGATCAGTGTGTTAATGGTGGAGAAATGATTTTACCTGCCACACAGTGCTGCATGAAATAGTGATTGACAACAGTAAGACCCTCCTGGCTGATTGGTTTTTGGGTTGTTGTTTTGTTTTTTGTCTCTCATATTGTCACAACATGGTGACAGTTTCTACAAATATTACAAACTCAGAGCTTTAAATAATAATCAGGTTAGGTTTTCTTGTTTGTATGTACGTGACAACGATACATACATACCTGTCCTCATTGTGTATTTTGCAGCATCATTCAAATTAAATTTATGGACTGTCTTGCTGTAATAAATGTTTTCACAAGAGGTCCCTACTGAGCCTTCTCTTTGTGTCCTGGTTGAACACCTTCAGTTCAAACCTCCTTCCTCAACATAATCCTGACCATCTTCTCATTCTGGACCTTGGGATTAGTTTAGATTATTTTAGCTTCAGGCTTCATCCTTTCTGTGTTCAAGGATTTATTTTTTATTCCTTCTTTCTATTTGTACATAGTTTCTGTCCTAATTGAATGTGTGTGTGTGTGTGTGTATTATCCAGCTTTAAACTAACATAATGTCCAATGTGAAATACAAGTAATGAAAGAAAAAATAAGAGCAAACTGAAGAAAACGATGGACATAGGATCATATATTAGTTTCAAATATGTCTTGGAGAATCTTCCCTGATTGCACTATTGCTAAACAAGAAATATTTATGAATAATGGTTTTTATTATTAAACAGCTACAGAGTTCTTTCAGTGTGAAATGTTTAGAAAAATCAGGCTTGGATATTTAGGACAGTAAAAGTGACTTTCCAGGTTGTTACACAAATACATTTAAACAATCCATTCTCAATACTCTCATGCCAAATTTCTGATGTTAGAAATCAGTGACCAATACAGACAGTCCATTTTTTATCGGCTAGTTTTGAGGTCAGTTTGATCTGTTTGCGGAGCAGCAACCAAACGTCTGTCATTCCTCCATGTTCACCGTCTTTACAGGCTCTGCTCTCTTCATCCATGGATGTGATGGCTCTACATTAAAATTAATCTTTTTAAAAGATGGAAGGATTTATTTTTATTTTTTGGGGTCATCTTCATGCCGGCTTCTTTGCTGTTACCTGGTTTTGACCCATTCACTTTAACAGAATGGAAATGCCAGTTCAGTTGAAAGATAGTTTATTAGTTTGGAGAGAAAATAAACTTTGAGACAGTTATCTTTAGACTTGTAGATGCTGATGGCAGGTAGGATCTCCTGTAGTGGTCTGTTTTACAGCGGCTCTAAGGCAGCCTCTGACTGAAGACACTGTGGTTATATAAAGGTGCATGAAGAAAATAATTGGGGTTGTTGTTAATGTTCTCAATTTTATGAAGAATCCTGCTGAATGATTAAATGGATGTTCCCTCAGTTGGATGTCATGCATCATCCTGGCCTTGCAGACATGCAGGCAGCGGTTCTGCTGCACACCGACTGGCTTCTACATCCAGCCGAGCAAAACGGACTTCTGATTGTTTTTAAAGCGCTTTAAATAATAATCAGGTTAGGTTTTCTTGTTTGTATGTACGTGACAACGATACATGTGATTCCTGTTTGAATTGAGTGGGGTTCTTTAGTTAAGAGGAAAATTAGAGAAAGTAATGTTTCATATTATAAACAAGTTCCAAAGTCCATGTTTCAGATGAGCTGAGGTGAAGGTTGGTGGTAAAAACATGGAGGAAGGTGGCGCCAGCTGCCAGGGCGGATTGGAGAAGTTATCAGTAGATTTTGGACAGGAGTCTGACGCCAGGAGAGGCTGGTCGGATCAATATGCCGCAAATATTGGTCGTGGAGAGCTTCTTTTAAGTCTTCAAGGCCGCACATTTGTGTGTTTGCTGACTTTATCTAAATTACGGCCGTTAGAAAGTAGCATGTAGTGGAGTGCGCTTTAACCACATTATCGAGCCACTGGATTTATTGTGGGGACCCTGAGGCCCTCCCACGCTGCGGTGGAGGGGGGTGGAGGGATTAGTAGCTCTGATGGACAATAGTGTGTGCAGGTGGGGGGCCTGACCTGCCCTGTCCGTGCTGTCACTCTGAAACCCAGAAGTCCCAGGTTATTCTTTAACACTTTAAGAGCCATTACAACAATTTGCATTTATTGCCATTATCATCACTTCACTGGTGATCTCCAGATACATAAAATTCACAGGAAAGATCCAAATATTCAAATCATGAGTTAAACACCCTCCATTCAGCTGCTGTTCACAGTGGATTGCAGCTGACTTGCAGGCGTTTAACTTCCAAAAGTAAAGATAAGACTCCAAACTGTTTGAGACCTGAGGGTAAATCCAGGGCCTCCTGTTAACTGACAACCTTCGTTCCTCAGAAAGCGTTGATGGTGGTTGCTGGTAGATAGGACAGGTGTTGAAGGACAGGTGTTACACCAGATTCTGGAGCCAGCAGATATTCAGTTTGGTTTATTTAAATGATTCTGATTCATGACAAGTATTTCGCAAGACAGTCAATTCAGTCATATTAACAGATTGTAAGCAAACTGCTTACAATCTTGTTATAAACCAATGCAGTCAAATTCAGTTTATTATTCCTCTTGCTTCAGTTTTCTATCTAAGGAAACCCAGCAGTCTGATGCACTCATTGACCTGTGTCAGTAGTCATTTGCATTTTGTCATTGGATTTCTCTCATACTGAGCAAGCATGCTCAGACAATAGAGAGAAGGAAATGTCCTTTAACAGAAAGGAATCTTCAGCAGAACCAGAACCAGCACCTGGCTGAATGTGACCCAGGTTCTGAGAAGACAGAAACCCCAGAAGAACTCATCTGACCCTGATAAATAAAGACTCTGAATCCTTTCTACTCTCAGAAACTCTAGGATCCAGCGGTGGACCGGCTCTGTTAGAAACGGTCAGAACGTCTGCTGGAACTTGACTGGCTTGGATTAGACTGGCATGTGAGACGACAATCTTCAGTTTCTGTTCTGGATTTCGCAGGAAGCAAATGAAGAAAAGCTAAAATAAGAGAAATACAATCTCTCTCTCTTTTTTTAAACTTCAATCAGAACTCTTGCTGTGGCATATATTGTGGCTCTAGAGGGCGCTGTTAAAAAAGCAGGACAGAAATACAGATTGCTACAGATTCAGACAGCTGAATCAGAATCAGTTTTACTTGCCAAGTTTGTGCACACAAAGAAGGAGTTTGACTTTTAATTTGCTGTAAAAGTCAAGAGGCAGCCTGGCCTGTTTGGGGTAGAAACAGTTTTTTTGGTAGCCATTTTTAACAAACTCTTGAAGGGGAAAGCTCCAACATTTTGTGTCCATCATATGTGGGGTCTGCAGAGATGTTAGCTGACCTTTTCCTTTTCCTGCACCTTTAAAAATCTTGGATGAAGATTGGCCCCTATGATCCTATTTGCAGAGTGATTATTTGCTGCAATCTGGCCTGTCCTGAATGGTGGATGAGCTGAACCACAATGTGATGAACGGACACGTGTAGAACATCACCTGCTCCTGTACTGCTGTACTTCTTAAATTGCCACAGGAAATGCAGTCTCTGCTGGGCCTTGCTGGACCAGTGTGTATGTACGAGAAACAGCTCAGATCTCAATAAAATAAAATAAAATAAAGGCTCCTAGAAACCGGAAGTGGCCCACTGTAGACACTGTTGTTGAGGAGAGTAGGGAGGGAATTCTCAGGACAATCACCATCATCACTGTCTTGAGCACATAAAGCTCCAGGTGGTTCTGGCCTCAGCAGCATCCACCTCACCTTTGGTCTGAGAGGTGAGTGCTCATTTTCATACAGAGGGACGAGGAGCTGGGAGAGAACACACCCTTGGGGGACACCAGTGCTGAGAAGAAGCTGTCCAGCCACTGACAGGTGAGCATACTAAATAGATTACATTTTTATACTGTCAAATGTCTTAAAGGTCACCTGGAATAGTTTGATTCCAGGTGAATATTAAGATTTTTTTGTTACTACAGTCACAGCTATGAAAATATGTAGTCATATGTATTCTGATCATCTGGAATCAATCATGGACAATCACAGAATCTGGTGTAAATCAGAGCAGAAAGCTAACCTGTGTCCAAATGTTACACATGCCTGTCTGGTGTAAAGTTTGGTCATATATAATCTCAGTTCAGCTGAGTTTATTCATACACCAGAGCCAATTTATTACAATGAAAAAATAAGCCAAATAAGTCCAATACAAATACAATAGAGTAAATGTTATTATAATTTAATTTAATCTTGGTATTTTTACATTTCAAGCCAATAGAGTACAGATAAAAATATTATTGAATAGAAATAATCGTTATTGCCCCTCAGTTTGTAAATTCAGCAGCAAAGTGACTGAACAATGTGACTGATACAAACATAAATATATAAAAATTTCAGAATCAGAATTTTGATTCAATTCCAGTTATGCAGTTCTACTCATCTGATTGAAAAAACCTACAAAAACACTGTAGACATTGAATTCATTTTTTTATTTAATCAAATTGATAATAGAACGTTTTAAAATGTCATTTTGTAGCAGACTTTTAGAATAAAGTCAATGAAACATAAAATGCTGCAAGTCAGTGACTGCTGGATTTCCTTAGATAGAATTTTTTAAAACTAATTTGAATAATTAATCACTGTACTGAATTAATTGCAGCATATGCATGAATAAAATTAAATCGTCCTTGTATTTTTTTTGTAAAGTGCCTTTAGACAACATTAATTGTAAATTTGCATTACATAAATAAACTGAATTGGACTGAATTAACAGTCAGCTAGTTTACCAGTGATTTAACACATTACTGGAAAGACCTACAGTCTATTAATGCACAGAGCAGATAAACATGGAGCCAGCGGAGCAACACTGTAGGGGCTGAACTTGATGACTTTGTATTTCTGTGTTTCTGATGTAAAGCACTTGGAATCACTTTGCTGCTGAAATGCAAAGTACAAATAAATCTGATTGACTGATTTGCAATCCAGACCCGGAAATTAAGACTAAATCCTAAATCACTTACAATTAAAGGTGTTTGTATCAGAAAATGTTTTTCATTAGGAAAATAGTCATTTTTTTTTCTTCAAAAATGAATCCAGGTTACATTTCAACACTGAAATGAAGCTTCTGGTGCATAACAGCGCTGGCTCTGGAAAATAAAAGTTCATGTGATGATTGTTCCAAAACTATTTTTTATATCTTAATAACATAAAAATGGGAACCATACTTAAAAAGCTTTGGTTTAAAAACACTTTTGATTTATTACTTCTTGAAAATGATTCTTTTTCATATTTCTTTCTATTTTTATTCATCTTCTATAAAAGATGCCAAATGAAGTCATTTAAATATTGACTAATTTACTGCCTTTCAGTTTAAGGCTAAACTTTAAAAACAGTTTGTTCTGGTCTGCAGCTGAATGTTTACAGCTGTGTGCCATTACATACAGACACACTGAACTATATTCTCTGTTTTCAACTCATCCAGATAATATTTGGGTTTTCAAATCTGAGATTCTCCTGAAAAGCAGAAAAAGAAAAAAAACAAAAAAAAAACTAAAATCTCCCTTCACTGCGGGCGAGTTTGGGCCTCAGACAAAGCCAATCAGAAACGGCCACCAGCCACCTGCAGGAAGTCGGCCGTCCATTTATCTCCTCCCTTTTGCGCGTGCAGTCAGATAACAGACCCAGCGGTTGGATCGAGTGTCAGCTGGACAGCAGTCCGACCTGATGGGCACCAAAACACTGTAACGGCCCTGCGCAGCCCGGGGACCCTCTTGGTTAGTGGAAGTGAGGAAAAGTAAGTTGAGCGTCAAGGCTGGGAGTTGAAGACGTGAGGAAAGTGTTAGATTTATGCTGGAAGAGACGGAGAGACGCGCGTCAGCAGCGGCACACACCATGAGCGTCCCGCTTTACGCACCGACCCCCATCCAGCCGGCTCACCCGACCCCCTTCTACATCGAGGACATCCTGGGACGGACTGGTTCGGCCGCCATCTCTTCATCTTCATCTTCCTCCTCCTCCTCCTGCTCCACTCCGGTGATCCCCACACCGACACTCCCGTCAGCGAACTCCTCCTTCACCAGCCTGATTTCTCCCTACCGGACACCGATTTACGAGCCCACGCCGATCCACCCGGTGCTGTCCCACACCGCCCTGACAGCGGCGTACGGCCCCGTCGGAGCCTTCAGCGGCTCCATCTACCCGTTCCACCAGCAGCAGCACCGCTCCATGGGGGAGTACGCGCAGGCGCTGCTCCGACAGGACCCCCTCGGTGAGCAGAGACCAGCGCCCCCTTTTCACTTTCTCCTTTCTGGCAGTTGTGTAACTGACAGCTGCTTTCTTTCGTTGTGCGTAAACTTTGTTCCTAGACTCAGGGTTAATTCTTCCACTTCATCAGTAAGTCCCATTGTTACTGTTACTAAGCAAAACAGTGTTTTCGGGATTCCATTGACAGTTTAATTAGTTTTTATTCCCATTTTTTATGTGAAAAGCGCATCATTTCCCAACAATCAGGTCTAAATATGATCGATTCTAAAAATGCCCGGCCTCTATGACTGTTACACCACTCTCTGTGACTCAGTGCAGGCGCTTTTCTGCGTTACCAAACTGCGTTTCAGAGCCAACGAAACCGTTTTTGCATGATATCACGCTTGGTGGTGCATATCGAACTTCAGATCTTCTCCAGTTGCATGTTCGCTATGTGCAAAAACACATAGGCATAAACACACACACACACACACACACACACACACACACACACACACACACACACACACACACACACACACACACACACACACACACACACACACACTGTACACAGGACCACAACCAGCCGGAGACTTTTGCACAGTTTTCCCAAAGAGCTTCTGCGCATGGCTGACCACGCACACATGAGTCACGCTGTTATTGTGACAGACATTTAGGGCCACAATAGCTTCAGGCATATCCATTCAGCACGCTGGAGGTTGCACTGGGGGCCCTGAGTGGCCGACCTTGACTTGTTCTCCGGGGGCCCATTGTTCTGGAAGATCAGAAGGATCTCCTCTGTCAGGACGGCTGACTGTTGGCGTGGGGGCGTGGTGATTGGTGTAATGTCAGACAGGCCTGGTTGGACTCGGCTGAGTTCAACTTAAATTAGATATGATTGATAATGAGTACAGGACGGTCCTCTGAAGTATAGTGATTCTGGGTTAGTGAGCCAGCCGGGCCTTTTTCCGTTCATAGCGGAAGCTGTGAGCCTGTCGATAGGAGTAAATCTGCTTTCAGAAGCTGTTAAATGTTTTCCTGTCTCACCCCGGCCAGCCGCTTCCTCGGGAGGCCGCTGCACGCTGCTGATTATTTTATCGACATCCTCAATACAGACATATTCAGGAAACACTCGGCCTCTGATAGCCCGGGATCCGTTTTTCACATATTGTTGCACTTCCTCTGCCGGGCCCTGCGAGGATGTGGCTGACTTTCTTCACGGCAGGCGGCGAGGCAGAGAGAGAAGGGGGCGGGGGGCCCCGGGCCCCGGTGGGACCCCCACAGCAGAGATGGAACAAGAAGAGCCTCCGGGTTCCAGACTGTGTGTCATGGCTGCTGATCACCTCTAGACAGACTCAAGATCGATTTGTGGGAATTATGCAATAATCTGGTTATTTTATTGGAGGTCTATAATTATTTCATAAAAGAGCTGCTTTGAAGTCAAATGGGTTCACAGCAAAAACTGCAACAAAATGTACATAATTTATTTTTTATTTCGCTTGAAATAAAAAATAAATAAAAGTTTGCTTTAACTATAAAATGCAGTTTGTTTGTGATTGTTCAGTGAAGTTCATTTCAGTGGGTTTGATTCTGGTTTCTGTGATTCACATTCCTCCAGTTTTGTGATGATTAAACTGAAAACCGTCTGAGCGTCGATTCGATGCTGAAATCGGAACAGATGTGAATCCAAAACATCTGTTTCTGGTTTCAGGATGATTATTGAAACACTTTATCATTTAACTAAAACCTTCATGAAGAATCAACACGACCGGTTTCTCACATCCACTGACAGGATGTGACGTGCGTTTGTTTGTCTGTTTTGCCATATTAACTATTATAAACACAGTAATAGTGAATACTTGCCGGATTCTAGAGTTGAGCTTGTCTTCCACATCAGGCCCCTAACACCTTTATTGGTCATTCCTCAGCCTGAGACCATCATTCTGGTCATAAGGGGATGAAAATGCCGCAGATTGCATGAAAAGCTGCACATGGTATCACATCAGTGAGGCAGAGCAGGCGCCTGCTCAGTGGACAGCTGCCCTCCTCGTCTGTAATCACAGCAGAAAGCAGGAAGCACATGAAGCGGATATTTGGCCATAGTTTTCACTCTGTCACGACCTTCCTGAAAAGACAGCATGCAGCAGGCGGCTGCTGCTGTTGTTTGTTCCACACCATTACTGGGAGGAAACTGCGCTGATTCCGCACATCTATGCGGCCCTTTTCTCTGCTGAAGCATTGCTTTCCTTATATGGGCTTCCCTTATAATCCTGGATGCAATTAGAAATTCCAATAATCGCACATGAAGCTTTGTTTTTGTTGCATGTTTATGTCTTCAAATTTTCATTTTAATAATTCGTTTTAGTTTGCTCTGCTTTCTGCCTGTATTGTTGAATTGTCTAACATCCAGCAGCAGCAAAACCAAAGCTGGAACCGTCTGACTGGACCGGGTCACCGAACAGAACACAGCTGATAATGCAGGTGTGTGTGTGTGTGTGTGTGTGTGTGTGTGTGTGTGTGTGTGTGTGTGTGTGTGTGTGTGTGTGTGTGTGTGTGTGTGTGAAGGGAAGCCCCTGTTGTGGAGCCCATTCATCCAGCGGCCCCTACACAAGAGAAAGGGAGGCCAGGTTCGGTTCTCCAACGACCAGACCGTCGAACTGGAGAAGAAGTTCGAGACGCAGAAATACCTGTCCCCCCCGGAGAGGAAGCGACTGGCCAAGATGCTGCAGCTCAGCGAGAGACAGGTGAGGAGGCCGAACCCGACCAGAACCGACCGAACTTTTTCTCATGTCAGACTTTTTCCTCCGGGAAGACGGGAGCTGTCTGGCTTCAATAATAATAATAATAATAATAATAATAATAATAATAATAATAATAATAATAATAATAATAATAATAATAATAACAAAATAAAAAAAATATAATAATAACATTCTTAATAAAGCCATTAGCCGCTGAGGCATGGGCGGAGCCTTCGTGCTTGTCTTGTATGACGAGCTTAAGAAAGTCATCTAAGTTGATTGTGTCTCTCCACTGTTCATGTTGTTAAATGTATCTGTAACATATCTTGTACATTTGGAAGGACTTAAATACCTGAGCTATATATGTTTATAGGGGACCAACTAGTATTTTTTTACTAGTTGTACCGGGGAAAATCTGTTATGCACTTGTTTTTGTTTTGGTTTTTTTTTTGTTTTTTTTCTTTGGCCCATTCAAAGTTATGCGTATTTTTTTCCATTTAGTCATAAAAGTTAGTTTCGTATTTGATTCGATTGAAAATAATATTCGATCAGTTCTCATCTAGACTTGGACTATTCCATTATTTCTCTGCTTTTCATTCCTGTCATCCTTCAGTTAGACCCGCTGCGGCTCCGCTGCGGCTCCGCTGCTTTTCACTGCGCTAAAAATCAAAGACGATTAGGAATACAAATTTTCCATATGGATGTGAATGATTTTGGGATTACTAACTGTGAATTTATTAAAACTATTTTTTTACACTATTTAAAGCAATAATTGTTGAATTTTGAAGTAATTTCTTAAAGCGACTGAGTTCATAAATCTGGTTCTGTTCGGGCTGGACGGGCTTGTCTTCCTGGACTTTTATCCTTCAGTCTTTTTAAGAGAGTCGGAACAAACCTTTCATGCTTATGTTTAATTAATTTAACTATTTTAATAGTTTAGCTAGCTAATAATAATAATAAGAAGAAGAATTATTATTATTATTAATAAGAATTATTATTATTATTATTATTATTATTATTATTATAAGAATTCTTCTTCTTCTTCTTCTTCTTCTTCTTCTTCTTCTTCTTCTTCTTCTTCTTCTTATTATTATTATTATTATTATTATTATTATTATTATTATTATTATTATTATTATTATTATTATTATGTAACCTTTATTCATTCAGGTTGTCTCATGACAGCAGTAGAACCGATTCTCTCCCTGAGCTGCAGGTTAACCTCACTTAGTAAAAGCATCAAGTCTTATGATCTGCAGGAGGATCCTCATCAAAAAAATAAACAAACAAACAAACAAACAAACAAACAAACAAATTCAAGTGACACAACTTTCAGCGAAGTCATTTATTTTAGTTGAATTTTAATTTGATATTTTTCAGTTCAAGTCTTTATTTTAACCATTAAGTGAATCCATCCCACGTGTTATTTTTGCATTTCTCATTCACATTTTTCACAGCACTATAATTAATAAATGTTCTTTTTTAATTCCTTGATGTTAAAGTTTCGGATCTCAGATTATTATTATTATTATTATTATTATTATTATTATTATTATATAGGCACAAATACAACATAACAGACAGACCCAACAGTCCCATGCATGCATCATGGTGTTTAGGGACTAAGTTAATTTGCAGCTCTTGTCTCTTCATGGTCTTTTCTAATCAGAATCTAAAAACTATCAGGAAGTGAAATAGTAATTAGGTGACACTTAAGAGCCTTCAGGGCTGCACTTTAGGCCCACAGTGATCCACAGTGAGCCACAGTGATCCACAGTGAGTAGACATGAGGATCGTTCTTCTACTTTTTGCCGATTTTGCATCATAAAACCAAAAACCATCATGTACACGTTCAATGTCCACCTGTCCATAAAACAGCTTCAAAACTAAGAAAATTATGCATTTTTATGATTGATAACACGAGGACTGAAGTTTGCTGCCGTTCATAGCAATGACAGGCAAAGAACATCCGAGTGTTTTTGTGTTTCAGGTGAAGACGTGGTTTCAAAACCGACGAGCCAAGTGGAGAAGATTAAAACAGGTGAAGAGCTTTTCTAACAAACAGCTGCAGGTAAAGTCAGCAGAAACATCTGTGTGGGCTTTAAATCCGTCTCCCTGTCTGTGGCAGGAAAATCCCCAGGGCGGTAAGCGGGAGGTGGAGGACGACAGCCCGCTCGGGAGGAACTGTAAGTCGGATAAATTGACGGAGCAGGTGGGGATCCAGAGCCTGGAGAATCGGCAGACAGGCCCAACCCCACTGATGACCCCGGGGGGTCACCGTGTGCACTGTGGGCAGTCCCCCACGGAGCTGGACTCTGATGTGTCCGATGATTCAGACCAGGAACTGGATATAGAAAATAACAGTGAGTTAACACTAAACCCGTAATTGTGCAGCATGGGTCAGTCGGCCTCTCAGCTGGACGATGAACTCTGTTTCTAAATTAGCCTTATGTGCCTTCCTGGGAAGTAGGAAAGCAGAAACAAGTTCAAATAAAGACTCAACCCGGACTTGGAAATGTTTTCAGTTTTGGGACTGGAACCTTGTATTGCTGTATCTCCAGCCATGGCTGATGCTGCTTTCTGCAGCTGTGATTCACATTCAGATCTATTTAACATTCAGTCCTCGGCTCTGTGTTTACCTCTTGTATATGATGTACAATAGTTTTTGGGTTGCATTGGTAGTGACTACTAACAATCACTGTAAATATATGGTATTTCCCTCTATCTTTTATTAGGTATGTTCAGATTGTGGTATACAAATTAATAATCGTTGAAGCTTACAATGTACTTTTGGAGTCATGTTTAAGTGCCTGTTTTTTGACCTGAATAAAGACGTGTTAGCTTACGTTTGACATAAATGTCATTTTTATTAATCAGGAAAAACTGCTTTTTGTTTTGTCTTTTTGCTCTATATTCTTGTTGCACTATTGATCATAGAAAAGATTCCATAATCCCAAACATCTCAGCGACTCTGTCCAAATGTTCTTTAGCTCTTGTCGCAGTAATTGTGATAAACATACTTCCAGATTTGAATTTAAACCTAATCACTGTTCTCCACTGAGCTGCTTCTCTTTGTCCCCAGATGTTGAAATAAAGACCACCACAGATTAGCGAGCCATTCAGCCCATGTCGATTGTTGTCCCATCACCACATCCAACTTCAAATAGCTTATCAAGCTGCCATGCAAACAGTATGAGTGGGACTTTTTCAGTGAGTAGATTAGGTTAATGATTGAGTGAACCTTCAGAGAAGCCGGAACAGAGAGAGCTGATAGACATGCGACACAGACCCGGCTTGTTCGCATCCAAGACATTTTCACAGAAATAAAAAATTGAGCAGATTTCAAAATAATCCTAAAAATTCTGTAAATCGAACCCAGACCTGTGACTCTGTGTGATAATGCGAGGAATATCCAGTAATCGGCTTGTTTTGGGGACATTACTGAGGTTCAACGGCCTCCACATGCAGGACTATTCTACAGTCAACAGAACATGCATCGATCTCAGCTTCTGTATTGTGTAATGGTTCACAAATTGTGCAGAGTAAAGTCAACATTCGAAGGAAAGCACACACAGTTGGTAGGTGAAATGTTCAGCAGCCATACACACATGCACACAAACACAAAGCGTATTGATAAAGAAATCAGAAGTGATTACAGAGGTTTGTTTTCTAACATGATAAAAAAGAAAGCGGCTTTTATGTGAAGCTGATGGGTTTAAGCAGAGCCAGTCTTCCTCGTTTGGTCAATTCAAGCACCAAATAAAGAACAAACACAAGGTGATTAGAGTCTAATGACTAATTCACACACATACATTTCAATGGAATGTTTGAAGAGATAATGAATGAGTGATAATGAATGAGTGAGGCTCTGTCAGCCCAGTGTGTGAGAGCGAGGTGAAATCTGACTGTCAATGTTTCCCTATGAGAACATTAACTGTAATCAGAAAATGGACAGTTTACTCGTTCATATGTATCGCTCGACATGTTTCATAAAGACGACTTGGAACCGAAAGATAATCAGATAAGTTAAAAATCAGATCCCAGTGAGCTGGATTGTTTTAATGAGACATTTATCAACACTTCCTTTTTATCCTGCCCGATTATGAAAGCTGTCATCTTGTACTAGATGTTCTCCTCCAGGGTATATTTAGGAGAGCAGTTTTTTGCCATGATTCTATGAATGGCAGTGCATTAAAAAGTTTTATTTATTGCTTGTTTAGACATGGAGCTCAGTGACAGAGCAGAGTGAGGAAATAAAACAGAACTGACTGAAGTGAAAATGATGAGAAACAATCAGATCCTGAAATTATGTGGAGATCAGAGAGAACAAGGCAATGTCACTAAAACACACCAGCTATATTTTTCTGTATGTGTGTGTGTGGGGGGGGGGGAAGGGGGTGTGGGTGTGTGTGTGTGTGTGTGTGTGTGTGTGTGTGTGTGTGTGTGTGTGTGTGTGTGTGTGTTTGGTGGTATTGATGGATACAAGTTAATGTGTGGATGTATTTGAACGACTGAGGAATGTGTTGACTGTTGACCTTGGCCAAATGGGAGCCATTATCTTCCCCTGCTGAGTCCCTGCACCTCCCCCTCCCAGACTCTGTTGAACTGATAAATTAATGAGGGACAACATTGCTCACATCGATACTGGTGTCGCCACCCGGGACAGAGGCGCATGTGGGGAGAACACACAACAGAAAAAAATGGCAAGACTTTGATGAGAAGCTACTGCTTAACTGTCCTCAGGTCTAACCCACTTTCATTCCTTTGATTTCTCAAAGTCGAAAGAATGTGAGTAAAGATAAAAGTCAAAAGCCCGTCCCTCCACTCTGAGCCAACCAGCCTCCAACACTTTGACAATTAGAAACATCTGAAGGCAGCCTGGTAAAATTAACTCCTTGTTCCACGCTTTGCTTCCTCCAGAGGGTCTTGCTGTTGAGAATCGATTTCTTCCCTCTAGGTGTGGACTGTGTTGACGTTTTAAATTTGATCATATTGCTAACATTTGACCATGAGGTATGTAATGCCCCAGTTCCCTGTGCTGTAACCAACAAGCCTCCACTGTGAAGAAAGAGCTTATCTAAACAAGGCAACTCCATCCATCCATCCATCCATCCATCCATCCATCCATCCATCCATCCATCCATCCATCATCCATCCATCCATCCATCCATCCATCCATCCATCCATCCATCCATCCATCCATCCATCCATCCATCCATCCATCCATCCATCCATCCATTAATTAATTAGCATTAACATTAGCATTAACATTAGCATTAACTTGTCCCTTGGACAAGGATGTTAATGCCAGAGACAGACAGGACAAACAACCATGCACACACTCACACCTCAGGAGCATTTAGGCAGACTAATTAACCTAACACTGGCTCCTTTTGACATGGAGAAGCAGCAGCTCTACTCTGAATCTCTACCAGATGACTGAGCTTCTCACTATCTCTCAGTTAGAGCCCAGACACCATGTCGAAAAAAAACTTATTTCGGTTTCATGTATTCATGATCTCTTTCTTTTGGTTATGACCCGAAGCTCATGACCGTAGATGGGGGTTGGAACGTAGATCAACTGGGTTGATGTAGATTGACTCAGTTCTCTTCACCAGGACAGACTTGTTCAAAAAAGTCATTTCAATTCATTCAACATACATTCCAATTGATTCTGGATATCAAGCAGTGAATCCAGTCCAGTTCATTATTCAGATTAGCTCAAATGGTTTATTGTCCAAGGTAACCCAGCAGATTGCATTGAGTTATTGACTTGCAGCATTCATTCCTCGTGTCGTTTTATTGTTGACTTTGCAGTAATCCTTCATACCGGGTGGTATTGACCAAAGAGACAAGGGAATACACAGATTCCATCAAACTGATTAAAGAACTGCATCTCATCCCCATACAAATATATGATATGTGTTGAAAAATATATTTTATTGCATCCATTCAGTCATTTGTTCACCATTGAGCTCAAAGTTAATTAGCCGGATGATGATTTGTGTTGAAGGAAGGCAAACATCTCCTCTGATGTGTCCCTTGTAGGAGCTAGCTGCGCTCAGCACATCTTAACGGTGACAGATGCTCACTTTGAGATGCAGCGTGTGAGAAAAATGGCTCTGCACAAGATTACACTGCTATTATTTACGTTTTAATTTGAAACGACAAAATACAGACATGTTGCACTTGGGACTGATGGACATGAAGAAAAGATCCTCTGTCCTCACATTGAATATGACTGACAGCTGGGACTGAAATAACTAAGTGAATGTAGCAGGATTTGATTATAACCCATCTGCTTTTATAGAACGTACTCTACAATAATTTTTTTAAGAGTGATCTACTTCAATAAAATAAACTGTATCAAACCTTTCAGAGTTAAGTTCATAGCTCTCACACTCTCTCAGTATGTGTATGACAGTTTTTTTTTTTACCTGAGTGCCTAACAGATGAATGTTCTACTCTTGGAAACCATCAGAAATGGTTTACTGTATCTGCTGTGTCTACAGTGACACCCTCTGAATGGAAGCATTTTTGTTCCTTTAGCACCACAGTCAGTGCGGACGGATGCACACGACCCATGTACATGTCCAACCTTACCACCATCCAGTGGTGTTTGAATAACTTCAGAATGCAGACTGTGTGATGGTCTTTATCTGGTATAATAGAGTCATAAATAATTCATTTACTTTGTGGAACCTAATTTATGAAAACTGCTCCTTCTGTTCTTCAGAATTTCTCTGATAGTTTCCTCTCTAACGCCACACTGACATCCATGGGAGATTATTCAGCAACACTAGGTCATTTGTACCCAGAATAGACTAAGTTCGAAGGCTGCATGCTGAGTGGACAACCAAGTTAATGCTGACACAAGTGCCTAAAATAAAGAAGTGAAACCGTTATTTACTCCAAAGAAAACTCTAACATGCGCAGCATCAATCCTGCAGCATCAAGCCTGCAGCATGCCTCATGTGATACAAACTAAGTGTCTGATTAAAATAAGCAGAGAAAAGTATAAATGTTTGAGTCATCTTTATATATCTGTTTTACTGCCATCATTGTTAGCTAGATGTGTTCAATTATGATTGTGGGATATCAGTTGAGAGACTGGTATCAAATACATTACAAATAAAATATAAATACAAATACAAATACAAATAAAACAAAACAGAGGATCATGACAATGTGGAAAACAAACAAATATCATCCATGATGCTTCCAGTATAGTTTGATATTAAATGCCAATTAATAGGATTATTTCTAGGTATTACCACTGTAGAATTATTGCTAACTTGTGTTAAAAAAAAGTTCTGAACACAATCTGCATTAAAGGGCAATAATTGTGGAATCTAAAATTTACTTGAAATGGATCAGACAATACGACATCCAGGCAAAGGGAGAGAGTTTGTTCAGCAACCTAGACAAAACCCCAGTGACTTACTTGAGTTTGACCACTGGCAAAATCCTTATTTTTAACATACTGGACTAAATCTGACCAATGAGTTTTATCTCCACCTGGAGCATAACTTCCAGTTCTCTTCTTTAAAAAGGTGCTTCATCACCCTGGAGCGCCAACCCAAGAGCACACCAAAAAGCCTTGGCACTGGAACAATTAGGTCTTCTTTAAATATTACCCAAATCACAATTCACTGTGAAGTTGACAGGAGAATGTTTTCTCTCTCCTCTGGTTGGACTCTGGGAGTCACTGAAATTTGGGATTTTTCAGACATTTTCTGAGCCTTAATAGCAGCTGATCTGAACTATTTGAAAACACTTTATTTGACTAACGTGACTCTGTCATAAACATGACAACAACTGTTATAAACATTCATGGATGTTTAT